ATGTAATTTTATCCTTCTGCCTCTCTATATTCTCTTCGTGAACCCTCCCGCTGAACGCTGCCTGAATGCGCCGCGAAGTGATTCCCGCTCGATTGTTTTGCTACGCGCAACCGAGAATCTCTTTGCACCGCAAGTGGTTAATAAACCTGCTATTAACTTAGTAACTGAAGAACAATGAAAATGTTCGTCTAAATTCATTTCGTTAATATCTAATATTTTATACAGAATTTGATAAAAAGAACTTTTGGCTACTTCCTCTACGTTGAAATTGAAAGAAAAGACTTGCTGAGACCTTTTAATTTCATATTGCGCAGGTATAATTCTATATTATTAAATAATTAATACCATTAATATTATTAATTTGTTTAATTATATCATTAACACAAATGACATTTATAAAAATATATAAAATTAAGTTTAATATAAATTTACCCAATTATAACACATATTGATGATTCAAGGATACAACAATTTCAAAACGATTACAAAAAATAAATTATACTAAATATATACATATATATGTATATATATTAATATATATATATACATATATATAAGAAATTAATATTTTTCAGCTGAGAATAATAAATAAACCAAATACCTTTGAAACTTTACTATCATTCTGCAAGTAAAACAGAAGATTAATTTTCAGTCAGACTCTACATCATATTTTTCTAAAAATCGATTTATGATCACCGCTGTATGTTCTGCATGTGTTATGTGAAAATGATGCTTTCCTCCTGGCAGTTCTTCATAAAACACATCTTTATTATGTTCTTTCATTATTCGTAACGCGTTATGATAATCCTCTTTTGGCTCCACATAAAATGATTCACCTCCTTTTATTACCAAATATGGACATTTTATGAGTTTTGCAAAAGTTTCTAAATGTTCCTTTGAAAAAAGAGTGTGAATAGGAGTAATACGTAATCTAGGGTCTCTATTAATAACATACGTTCCATCTTCCTTCTGACGAACTCCTCTAGTCATAAGTATGTCACATGATGCATCATCTATATTTGCAATCCCTCCCAGCCATTTTCTTTTGATTTCAGCTTCTGAATAGCTAAGCTGGCTGTTTGTACTTTCTTCCAGTTTTATGAGCGAGTTAATTGCTTTTCCTAACGCGTCAGCATAATAGTTTGCATCCAAAGATGGAAATTTGAAGAAATCCAAGCATATAACGTACTGCACTTCCTTCGGGAATGTCGCAGTAAACCAATATGACGTCATCGAACTCAGGGAATGTGCCATTAATTTCACTTTCTTCCATCCAAAATACTTCATGACTCGTTTGATTGATGCAAGATATACCACCTCAGTATATATAGATCCTGGTGGTAACCACGACGACAGGCCATGGCCAGGTAAATCGATGGACAGAACTGGAGTATTCTTAGCTATGAGAGGCGCTAGAAGATTGTATGATGCCGCATTATCCTGCCAACCATGCATAGCTAAGATAGGTTGTTTATCCTGAGAGCCCCAAAATTTGCCTAAAAAGTGATTCATGTCACACCGTGCTTAGAGTCATGTTATGTCTACAGAAACCAATACTCACCATTTATTTTACCCCATGGCATTGGAATTTCTACTTCACTAGTCAGATCTGCTTCCTTTGGTTTATTGTGCAACGTTCTCATAAACAATCTCGAACACAAATTCATTCTTGCACTAGAAATCACTAATTGCCGGGTGTACATCTTGTTGATTATGAAGTATTATAATAATATCACAAACACGCCTCCTATTCCTTTGTCAATTTCTTCTGCTCAAATTCAATCAATATTATCAAGTTGTTTCTGTAACAAAATAATTTCATATTATCATAACAATTTAATTATATTTCTATTAAACTTTATTTTAAGTAATAAAATTAATTGGGATCTTTGAAAATAAGAGTTTAGAAAATTCATTCAGAATAACATAAATGTACTCCAGCTGATGACACAATAATTTACTAAATATTAATCTTAAAATAGACATATTTTCAGCACAATATTTTGGTTACTTGAGAGCTGATGTAACTTATAAAACTATAGAAGTATGTAGGGATGGTACAAATATTATTCAGTCACCACAACAAAACTGTTGCCTTTCAAACATGAGACAAAATATAAACAATTTCTCTAAAAATAAATTTCTAAAAATAAATAGAAATTCATTCTACGAAATTGTACATATGTCGTTTTCAATTTTACTATACAAGATGACTTACGCGATGAATTTTTTGTCAACTAAGTTTTTTTTCAACTTATTTCATCCCTGGCACGTGACCGCGCACTGCGATTACGAAGCTCGTTGGTCTATCCTTTTTAAATGATCTGCTGAACTGATGCAATAAGTGGGAAAACATATACTTGTAAAACATATACTCACTTCAATTTATTGCACTAGTTCAGCGGTGCAGCTAAAAAGAACAGACCACGCAAGATCACTTAAATATGCGTAGCGGTATCGTTCATATGTATCGATGGTTTATGCTTCTGCCAACTCAATATAGAATGCGTTTAAAAAGCGCGCTATTCAGTGCCGATTAGCGCTAGCTAATCAACCTGTCCTTGTCGTATATTTAATGAGGGATGAAAATAAAATCGTATTGTCGTATATTTAATTAGAGATGAAGATAAAATCATGCGTTAGTTTTTTCTTATATGTTCTTCAGAATAAATGAAAAATTTTAGAAAATAAACATATAAATTGATGAACATGCGCAATAGATAGGTAGCTATCGAAGTTAGAGATGTAAAATTTGTGTGTACATATCTGTATGCACATAATTTTGACTATATGGCTATCTATTGTGCATTCATGAATAATACATACGCTCCGTTATATTTTTTGTACTCCGAAACATAGAAAAAATATATTATAGCCGTCCTGTGATCGATCGTACGTACAGATCATTGCAACGTGAAATGGACTTTAGCTATCGCATGCGATACATAATTATTACTTCAGCTATTTTGCCAAGAAGGAAACTATCGCATGCAATATTTTTCACATATTTTCGAGAATCAGAGAACGGAAGATTTTCGGAGTGACTGTGTCTATCTCGCAGATATTGTCACGCTTCCTCTTATTGATAAGAGCCAGTTTATCCATGAATATAAACTTCCCTTCCCCCATCCACCAAAAGATAATATATGTAGGATGTTACAGATTTGTTTACGTAAAATTCTATCAATACAGAAAGAACGGATGTCATTATAAAGTCCTTAATTGAGTCATTAGTACACAAATGAAAGTTACACTATTCAAATTATAAACATCGATATTTCCAGGAATAAACAATACTTCATAAATTCTATTGAAATTGATAAACACCGGAATATGTTTTTTTTTCTTGTAAAGAAAAATCGATCACTAATGGAGGTAATTATGTTTTTCCCTTTTTTTATCAACACATCGAAAACTCATTACGATATTCGTCAAAATTTTCGTCAGTGAATACGTCGACTATGTATATATGTGATATAGGATAATATGTTGCTGATCGAGTCAGAACTTGTGGAAAAGTAGACTTCTTTATTAAACATCTTTATTGTACTGTAGGGGATAATCACACTATAAAAGATACAATGACACATTTTGCAATATACTTATATAACTATTCATGAAAGAGAGAGAAAGAGAAAGAGAGAGAATTTCATAAATTTATTAAAATAAGTCCAGGGATGTTGACACGTTATGAACAAATTGTTTTACGTTTTACGTAAGCAATTGTTTCCTTCAAAATATTTTTTTCACAAAACTTTTTTTTAAGTTATCAGATCGAAATCTTCAATTTATTACGGTGTGAAAAAGTTGATAATGTTGAATTCCGCCATGTTCTGTGCACACAACGTGCTTCACTTTGAAATTGATTAAAAATCGACGATTATCCTCTCTCTGATTATCTATCTCTTTACCTGAAATTGTGGCAAATATCCTTTTCCTCTTCAGCAGGCTTCTATTTCTCATTGGTTTCTAGAAATAAGAATTTACTCATCGCCCGGTCGCGCTATTGAAGAATAAAGATTCGCTCGACCCATCAGGTCGTATCCTACGAAAACGAACTGCTATGACTGCCGCTAAATCGTATCACTCGCGAATTTAACATGTTTCGTCTAATTGTCCCGCTACGAGTCGCCACCTTGATTTGAACGCAGATCATCGATCATCAACCTCATTTGAGAACATCGAGAAGAAGATGATCGATACTCGAATAACGGAATCGCCCAACATATCGATCGCCGCGCATGCGCATCGAACGCTGTTTCTCGTCTGTCCTCTCCGGAGGCGCGTAAGCTCTTTCCACTCTCTTTCCATTCTTGTCCTCTGAAGGATCCAACACCGAAGGTGAGTTCTGTGAATTCGTTTGTGATTTCGCGTCTTTCGCGACACCGATCGCCTTGCGAATACGATATACTTCGGGTCATCCGCCTTTTCACTTGAATAACGAAAACGAGCGCTGCGGAAACGCGGTAACCTCAACCCGCGCTCTGAAAAATTCATTCCGTAATATCGATCCTCTCGGTTTTCAACATTATGTAATTTTCACCGGCTATATATCTCATGTACCAAAGTCTACGTCTAGTGAGGACCTGCCGGGAAACGCGAGCCGCTAGTCGGCTTGCCGGGACGATCCGAGGCGGAAATCTTGAAATTAGGATGCGCGACCTAACCTCACCGGTCGCGTAACTCAACCTTCATGGCTCTTACGCGACACGGTACGCATCGAAGATTCAAGGCCTGTCCGGGTTACTATTAGCACGCGGAGAGGAGAATCTTCAGACGATAACGCGCGATCGCCACGATCGTTCGCTCGTTAGTTCTCTCTGGAAACTCGTCGATTTTGCCTCGTACAAAAAAAAAATCGCCCGTTGCATAACAGCGAGGGGGATGTTAACCCTTTTTATCGTTCGCAGAGCGAAAATTGTGATGGATCAAATCTTTCTTCAATCTCGATCGTTACCACCGCGGCAACGATATTTTTGTGGCTTTAATATGGAGGCGTGTCGAACACGTGCTCGATTGGTAGCCGTCTAAATACTGATAACAATACTCTTGGCATGTTATCTCTCGGATTGTACTCATTGCCTCGACAGTGATAAAGTAATGCGTAGCGAACGAATAACTCTGATGAAAATAGGCTGAAAATTTTACGAAAATTACGAAAAATTTCAATTGATCTCATTTCATTATCATTCCATAATACATCAGTACTCGAATATAAGGAAAATTGAAGTATACTGTTGAAATTTACTGAATTTAACTGAAAACTGCGTATATTAGTAAAATTGGATCAATTCAGAGTATATTTCGGCAAAATATTTTCATGAGGGGAAAAATAGCTCTCTATCGTTTTTTTCGATCGGAACAAATTTTTCTTCAAAGCGAATATTTTCTCATCCTACCCTTTCAAATTTACCCGATTTAATCAAACTGAACTCGATTCGTAAGTTTTATCCAAGATTTACTCAATTTGTGCATTTAAATAAGGAAAATCCGCAAAAGCATGTACAAGTATATCTTGTACGCAGGACGTTGCTTCTCGTTGAAATGGCTCTTATCTCTTTGTTCGGTTGTGAATAATTCTTAATTTCCTCACTGTTTTCATGGCATTCGCGATGACTTGTTGATGCGCGCACGAGTGATAGAAGCTGCAGCCGTCGAACGGCGATTGGCCGAGCAATTGACGTTATTTTTTATGCAATTTAATTAATCCCCGACGTTCATATTTCTATTCTGACGTCTCATAACACAGAAGACCATTTTTCGCGACGATTATCCGAGTTTACATTCTCAGTTTTCCCTCGATCCGATCGATATGCAAGTCATGTTGCCGAACAAAGTCTACGACGACGACGTCCCATCGATAGAGAATTTACTCGTTGCCTTTTAAGCGCAAATTTTCGTATAAGCATGTTATATATTTTTGTACAATGTAGATTGCAAACTCGTAATTTTCGCTACGAGTTCTTACATTATTCTATAAGTATATATGGGGACTCGCTGTTCAGAAACATTTGCACGATAGTCATTGAGGAATATATAAATAAATAGGATATATAATCAACTACGAAAAGGTTGCAACACTTTTTTTTCGGTGAATTTTTTCTCTTTCTTTTCCAAAGATGCGAAAATTCGTTCAGAAAAATTCACATGCGTCTCGGTTAAAACCCGCCAAATTTTCTAAGGAAGATGAGAAAGCAAAAAATCCGCGGAAAAATTGGGAAATGCTATTCTGCCTGAATGCATAAAGTATACTTCACGTCTGTCGATGTGAAATAATTCTTATATGAACATTCCAAGAAGTTCTCAGGAACTTCAATCATGACGCATATGGCTTGCCGGATTATTCTTATGGTATTCTTTTACGAATTCCTCAAGAATTACAACTTGTAGGAGAAAATTCCAGAAATACTCGAATATGCCGCGTTCCATTTGGGATATATCGCATGTCCGATCGGCGCCGCAGCGGTTTTGTTGTCGTGCGTGGAGAAACAACACCGTGCGGCTTCACCTTCGAATTGACGTCGTTCCATTTTGTACTTTCCATCCGGGTGACGGGACAGAGATAACATCGTCTGGACTAGCTGCGTATCGGTCAATTTAAAGCGGGTTTTACGCAGCGGCTGGACCTCTGCCCTCCGCGATACTACGCTCTTCGCGGCTCCGGCGCCTCTCTCATAAACACACGCTCGTCCTCCCCTCGTTCATTCACGCGCACCGTCCGTCGCCTGTTGAGTTCGGCGCAGTTGGTGCGCAGCGGTGATGCGTTGAGCACGCCTCTCTTTTCATGTGTCGTCTCGGGATATTAAAGAGAGAGAGAAGCTGTACGTTTTTCTCCTACGAGGTATACCTGTTGAATTTTTTCTTCGCCGGCGAGGTGAGAACCTGCGGGAAGATCGCGTTTGGTCTCCGATAAAACGCCCCATTTTCACCTAGAATCTCTAATTGATCTTTTAAAACCGGGTTATACTCCGAAAGAACGAGCAAGGAACGAGTAAACGCACGAATCCGAATAGAACGTTTCGGGCCGATTTTGTTCACGTGAGTCGACTTGTCAAGGAAATTCGTGCGCGTTTGGACGCGAATATACATCTTCATATTATAACACATTCGCAATTCGTTCGCTCAATTCGCTAACCTAACCTTAAAAGTGAAACACGCTAACGAGCAAACATATCTGTTCTTCCAGAGTACACGAAAGAAAACTGCGGTAACGAGATGCATTCGACTTTTCCGGCGTTGTACGCGTTCCGCTTGTCCCTGAATCAGGTGAGATCTATTTAACGTTGGTTTCCCGACGACGCTAGTGAACACGATTGATTAAGGTGACCCTCGCCAAGCTCCGGTTGAACCAATCGATGATTAAGGAAGTTGTAAGGTGAAGTGAATTTGATAAATATTCGATGAAACTCGCGCTACGTATACGTATTACCTAATTGCTCGTGAAAAAGATTTTCACATTTGCACATATTTATTACAGCTCCGTTTCAAATTAACATTTATTATTATTTAGACAGTAAAATAAATATACAAGAACGTAAATTTCTCTTTGACAAATACCAACTTTACAAATAGCCCCTTTGATGCGCCACTGAAAATACCTCACAAACTCCTTAATCGGTGGCTGACAACGATTTCTAACCGAACAATTTGCCATCCAACGATTAATAATCGTTAATCGTAGCGTAGATCAATCGACGTTTGGCTGAGGTCATCCTTGATCTCATTTGCGCCTCCATCCGGCACAGGCCGAGTCATAAATACCTCCTCTCTTCTTTTTCCCATTCGCTTCAAATTTACTTTTTACGTTCGGAGTCCGATACGTCCGAGCTGATATTATTAATAACGACCCGTTCCCATCTGGTAGTAGGCAAGGCTTATCGATCCTTTCCGCGCAAGTGTTCAGCATTTATAAATATTTTCTGGCTGCAGTGTCGCAAGCTATTTACGTGCCTCCGCCTAATATATTATTAATGTCCAAACTATATACATACATATTATACAAGCAGAGACGCGTAAGTCGGTTGTGCATAAGCATGTAGACGTATAAATGCAAAACGCACGGTCACAACTCCGCGAGATCGTAACAATAACAAGAAGAAGGAGAAGAGCGCGCGACGGAAGGAAGAGAGGAGACTAAAAATATTCTCCCGTTGCGCGGGCGTCAACAACTGATACCATTCTCTCTCTCTTCACATCTTGCAGGTAGCAGGACCGACTTTCTTTCATCGCAAGACTATGGTGGACCGTACCACGACTACATCTGCGATCTTGCTCGCGGCCATGGGCCTGTCCGTAAGCATATTCTCGCTGAAGAAGTTGCAGTCCCAGCGTCGTCTGCGGAAGGCCTAGAAATCGCACAGGAATCGCGAGACACACACGAGAGCGACTGAGAAGAAATCACACTAGCCCGCTCAAAATTAAACGAATCCATCGGTTATTCCGCGTACACGACATGTTTCACGCGACAACTTCACCAAACTCACTAGACAACGCCGTCCACGAACGTCAGCGATATTCACTGCCGGCGAGATTCCGAAGAGGAGTAATTTAGCACGAAAGAGGGAGAAAGAGAGAGAGAGCGAGAGAGCGAGAGAGAGAGAGAGAGAGAGAGAGACAGCAATCAGGCGATATGAGAGTTTGCGAGTTTCTTGTTGCACCCTCGAAAAGAGCAGGCTGCGCGTGTAGAAATTTCGCGTGCGAGAAAAGGCGTGTGCACTCTCGTCGTCGTCGTCTCTCGATCACTGGTCTTTGAATGTGCGGGACTATGTCCTCGATTCGTAGACACGCGCACAAGACTTCGCGCTTTAGTCACATTGAATTCAGCACTTGGTACAGGCGGGCGTGTCTCGACAAAGCGATCGGGTTTCGTCGAGAGCATGCCGACTCGCGCAGTGAGAACGTCCGTCATAACCAGAGACGCGCTTCTCCGGTTGAATCGCCAGCAGAATTCTTATAGTATTATTCTAGTCTTGCGCGCGTAGATCAGGAAGTTCCGCAATGTAGTTTCTACGAAAAGGGTGTACAGCCTCGTAATCAGTGCCACTTCGCCGATTCCAGGAGAACTTTCGTCGACGTTCGATGTAGGTCATTTCGTTCTTCAATATTAAACAAAGGACTGATCTTAAGAATATTATTATTATTATTATTGTAGTTTTAATGTGATGTTCAAGTATTCTATGATTTGGAGAAGGAAAAGGAGGAAAACAATTGGTCGTTTTTTTTTTGTCAATTTGTGCTGTCAAGGCTCCGGTTTTCTCGCCGCGGCCGTCTTGAATAATGTTGTCAGAAACGCGGAAATGTACGAAATTTTGGTGAAATACGTTGCGATAAAAGGTATGCCCGTAAAATAGTATTTTTGGTCGGCCGAGCACATTTGTAAAATATTTGGAAACTTTCTTACTTTGGTTCATGTTCATTTTATAGTGATTTATTGATTGTTAGAACAAAAGGAGAATTTACGGAATATCTGACAAATTTACTCAATTAATCACAAATATTATTTTACGGACAGTATATTTTCATTCCAATATATTTCGCAGAAATCTTGAACATACATTTTTTTCGCTTCTGACGTCAAACAAGTCGACGAGTCGACCAGGAGCCTTAATTAATTAGTCACTCTGTGTGTGGGTACAATTGTAAATGGAACACCAACTTTTCGAACAATGTACGTTTTTATCCCTGGAAAATTGTCATGATCATGCATATTGATGTTTTATACACTAACATTTAACTCGAACTATTTTCTGCTTTATGGGCCGAGCGGGATTGGCTTGTAAAATAAAAAATATTCGATATCAGTGGAATCATCTGGATTCACATGTCGAAACCTCTTGTCGAAAGTTCTTCTCGATGGAGTGGCAAACTGCAAACAAGCTCAAACCAAAGAAACTCGTCGAACGCAACTATCTGCGATACATATTAGCAAAAAAAAAGTATAAACTGAGTTAGGTAGTGTCGAATCGTAATGTAGAAGATAAAATTCATCGTTCAGATATTGTTGATAGCGTTCGCCTTTTCTCGCCTTTCTGTAATGCCGCGTTGATCTGATGTCGTTAGAACTTAACGCAAAAGTAATGTTGACTTAGGTATAATTGTATCTGCGTGTTATCGTATAGTCGCTCATAAGTAAAATTACCTCGCACATAAACAAACAAACGCACGCGTACACACGTATTGTCACGTACGAGACTTGATTGAAATCTTCGGTTTCTCCTCTAATCATTACTTCCCCATTTGTCCTGCATCTTTTAACGCGTAAGAAAACCAACCACATTTGTTCTAAATTATTCACGAATCAACACTAACCTTAATCTTCGACGATGAAACTCATCATCATCGCGTCGTAATTGCCGCGCGAACTTTGTTATTATTGTACAAGTCTTCATTGTGATGATCGTATTATGATGGATCGTCATCGGAGCGTTCTTGAAAGATCGATCGTTATTCCGAATAAAACGTTTCATTCTATATCAGCCAGGACTTATCTTTATTAAGATAAGAAAGATTCTACAAATACCTTATTCACGTTAATAAATGCTAGACTTACGACTTACAATTAGATCTTGCCAGGAAAGGAGTTGCGAAGAAACGCAAGATACCATTAGAGGAAAGTAATCGTTGTGTAACACCATATCATTAAAAAGGGAACATCGGGACATTCTCTTCCTCTCCCTCTCTTTCTCTTCCTGTCTCTTTTTTTTTTCTTTTAGTCTTAACGTATACATTTATTTATAATTATTATACAGTCTCAGACTCGATATTCCGTTTCTTAACATTTCTCTCTTGATCATTTTATCTCTCTCTCTCTCTCACACTCTTTCACTCTCATTCTTTCTCTCTCTCCCTCTCTCTCATTCTTATAAAGTGTCACGTCCGTGCGCGCGAAGACGCGAATTTTAAGCCAGTTCCCGCCGAACGCAAGTGATATAGGGCGATCCTCTTCGTATGTTCGCGTATACAAGTCGTCCTTGTTCGCTTCCACGGCACAAACGCGACCGCCCACACACACACACGCACACGCACGCAAGAAATATATATATGTATATTTATATATATATTTTTATTTATTTATATTTATATATATATATAAGTAATTTATAGAATTAAAAACCGTGATCGTCGGGCCGCTCGATTTCGAAACCTCGGAGTCGTACAAGTGCGTCAAGTACAATGATATATTACACAGCCGCCTGACACTCTCGAGCAGTCGATCAATCCCTGCGAGAGACGGGCGCGAATCAAAGAGAATCGTGCGATTCGCGAAGGGATTCTAATCCTCTTTTACGAGAGGGCGTAGAAAATTTATTGAAAAAACCTTCACCGACATGTTTAAATATAAAAGAGAGGGAGGGAGAAAGAGAGAGAGAACTTTCTCCCTCTTTCCGTCTCTCCTTCGTTCTGCGTTCGACCATTTGATCATACGACGCTTGTACATCGGCCAGGAGGATTAGAATCCCGGGACTTCGGAGACTAGAAACTCGATTGAGAGGGGGGGCACTCGATCGCACACCCGCCGATCGATTCTCTTCGATTCGCCGATCTATCGCGAGCGGGGTCGGTTCGGTGAAGAGAAAACAACACGGACCGCGCCCGACTGAACGTTGCATCACGAGTGCCTTGCGATCGCTCAGGAGAGGGGGGGGGGGTTGTCACTTAAACGAAACTTTGGCAAACGACCCTCGACACTTTGGCAGAAACGGAACGAAAAGTGTTTCGTGTCTCCGAAAAATTTTTTTCCCCACGATGATGAACGTGCCTGTTGTTGCAACACTTTCAGCAGAGAGAATGGCCGCATTCAGTGGAACAAAGCGATCAATGATTACCGGTCTTTATTGTTAGATTCATAAATGTAGACTAATTACGTTGACGAATTGCTCAACCGTTGTGTAAAGACGAATTTTTATTTTTTACGTTTCCGCACTGGAGAAAAATGATATAATCGATATCCTGATGTTGAGAGTCTGAAAGAATACTCCAGTCACAGACGATAATCGCTAAACGCTCACCGAGCTTGTTTCTCTGCTGCACGCAGCCCGCTCCGTCCGTGGCGCGCACGCGAGAACCGCAAGATTGATCGAACGATTAACCAGCGCGAACGAGTGCACGGTTGCGTTCTTTCTTGAAGCTGGGCGCAGAGTTCTATCACAGTTGTCCCCCTGGAACGGCATCCTCCACGTTCCCGCCACCGTTGTGTGCGAGCGATCTCGTCGACCGACGATATATCACGCGGGTAATTGATATGTCACGATACAAGCTTCGTCGTCGCACGAGTCACCTTCGGCTTTTCGCGAGAACAACCGGAGGATCGAAGAGCGACAGAACAGCTCCGAGCGATCTTGCACGTCGAGATGTACATCGAGGGGCCGCGAAATCTGTCAGACACCTGGAGGTTTGTTTTCTATTCTTGAATTGGCTGCACATTAATTCAAGAAAGCTGCGTTCCGCTGTTCACTGCCAATACTGCGAATCTATAGTTCATGTTATATATAGATTTTCAGTACAACTGGGGGGTTGATCATGAATCCCTCCCCTTTTAACGTGGACTCGTGAAAAGTGTAAATTTTCCCATTTGAAAACATTCAGAATTTCCATTTTTCACGTTTCCGTCAAGGGAAAATTTATCTTTCGAAGGGCTCGAATACAGGCGGGACAGCGGCTCGCGGGGACAAAACGCGGAGCGTGCCCTCTCGTCTCTCCTCTGTCCGTATTGGTTCTTTAACAATATTCTAATGGCAGTCTGCAGGGAGGTAAAGTGTGTCCGTCAGCGAATTTGACAGAGTCACACGCGCGACTTCGTTGCCACGCGTATCCGCGTGTCACGAAATCGCGAACCGGGGTAGCGGTGATGGGCTCCTTCGAACGTGGTGTTCTAAGGGCCTCAGCAAAATTATCGGTTTAAGACAATGTTTTATGCTTTAAAAGTCTTTGTCTTTAAGTGAGGCACAATGACTGTCTTGTATCTGGAATCTTGAATTAAAAATCCGTTCTCTTTGTGATCGAACAAACCGTTGTATAATAAAAAAGGTTGTATAGTAAATAATAATTCAGAGTTAATTATGGCACGAAATATTGTCTTAAAATTATATGTCAATCATTTTGTTGAGACCCTAACGGCGGACCAGATCGGGGATGCGGAGTGTGCACGGGGAAAAGATCGGTTGAATCAACGTGACGATGAACGAGCCAAAAGCGTCTTCGTTGAATAAGGCGAAATTTCTAGTTCCAAGAAGCAAATTCGGCTCTTGAGAGCCGGAATTTCCGTTTTTTTCGAACGAAAACGCAATCCGCCTCGTTTATTGTCGCGCCAATCCGACCAATTTTTTCCCTCCGTGTGTGTAATCAGTGTTATAATATATGTTCATGTGTCGCGTTTGTTGCGTCCTATTTTCCTTCTACTTCTTTTATTTCGTTTTTAACGCATAAGAAGGGAGACGACGTCGCGATCAGGCTGCTGCTGCTGCCGAAGCTCGAGCTGCCCAACGATTGAGAGATATGTTGGGCTTTCGCAGAACGCACTGTGTGATTTCGGTCATCCTCTCGTATAAAAAGACAAATCGAACGCGCACAACAACGTCGTAAGAAAATAAACTTTCAACTTTCCGCGCTCCTCGTCTATAATCATGTCGAATAGATGATACACCGCCGCCTCTCCTCTTTCGCTTCACCCCCTCACTCATTCTTTTCTCCTCTTCCTCCAGTTTTTACCGTTGCCGACTTAATGAAATGTAGATTCCACCATGTCGGTTAAAATGTTCCCCGCGAAAGCCCAGCACGCTTATCTAAGGAATTAAGCTATAAAAGTGGCGGTACAATCTGGATAATTATTTTCCCATTCCTCTCTTTATCTTCCGTTTCTTCCTCCTCCTCCCCTCTTTAGCCACTATGTGCTCCCACTCCCGAGTCCTCTTTTGTCCTCCTCCTATCTCACTACCGTCAGATCCCCTTCCTCCCCTCGCGTACATATAAATTCTCGCTAGAGCGCGACAGGCAGGACTGGACAATATAATTGTTTCTTCTTCTTCCTCTTTTTTTCTTCTTTTCAATATTACACGTGCGACATTCGCGACATAAATATTTATGATACAAAATACTCTCGTCTCGTCTCTCTCTCTCTCCCCCTCCCCCCTTGCTCCTTCTTGTATTTTGTGTGTCCGAGTCCGATCTTTTAAAAGTACGTATGTATTTTGTACCACATTTCCTCAACGGTGCGTCTCTAGCGCGTTTGATATTCGGCATTGTATCTCGCAATTCGCGCTCGAAATACATCTTTTTTTTTCATCTTTTTTTTTTTACACAGTTTTATCTCTCGCCCGGCCCCCCCTGGCGATATAGGTAACGCAACAGTTTATTCCCTCTCAACGCGCTATCCCTCGCTCTCTCATCTTTCACTCGCTGAAGCCGACTCGGCCGGCACCCGAATTTCACCCGCGTCATCGTCGTCGTCGTCCGTGCAACGTCTCGGATCGTCGGCACGCAACCTTCCCACGCTCCTCGCTGTCCTCGTCGATCGTCATCCGCGAGACGACGATGACGCGACGAGAACGAAGCTACGCGAAATCGAGGAAACGCGAGACTCGCGAAATCTTCATCTACATGCGCGCCGTTACGTGCGAAGAAGATCGCTTCGTCCGGCTGAGAAAAAGAAAAAGGGTCACTCCCACGGGTGAAACGGCGTTCACGAGTCCCGAGCTCGGATTTGCGAACCGTAGAAAGTACAAGGATAAGCGAGCGTCTTGGAACATCTCGCGCGAACGGGCAGCAGCGATGAATTCTCGACGATAAAATTGGCAGAGATCATTTCGCGCTGATCTCCTGATGATTATCAGGGAGGTTGTGACATCATAACAAAATATATCGATACTGATATTGATATTAAAAAAAAAAAAATAAACTTAAAATTATAGAGGAAATATAAAAATCAGGGGAGTGTTTGTCTTGTCAGCTATTTTTATACATAAAAGTCTCGTACGTTTACGTATAATAATCTTAATGATATTTCTACCTTCTTTAAATTTTCTTCACGATTTGTGGTCTAAAAACTTTGAAAAGATGCGTTAAAGCTCCTCCACTATTACTATCCTTGTTTAATGCCGTTAAAAGCGAAAGATAAAAAATAATTGCGGTATACGTGTAAAAAAAAACACAAAATATAAGTAAAAAATAATTAATACAAAAATACAATAAATACAAAATGACACTCATGATCGACCTTGTAATCCGTGTCCGGACGCTTTCCTCTTACTTCTGCAATCAATAAATAACCGTAAAATTAAAGAGATGGGTTTGAAACGTAAGTTGCACGTTACATTAATCTTCACGAAGCAAAAATATAAATCTCGAAGATCTACTGAGTAAAAAACTAAGAAAAAAAGAAACAATCGAAACAAAGTAGTACTGATATGGACACGAATATCGAGAGAAAATATCGATAAAAAAAATACCCAACATTAAAAGAAAAATATCGACACCAGTATTATATCAGTAGTATCACAACATCCCTAACGATTATACTTTAGCGATTACTCGAATGTTTTTTTTTTCTCTTCGACTTCACGGTGATCGTGAATTTTATCGCTGCGCCGTGTTTCATTCAATTAGCCGACATAAATGAGCAGAGAGACATCCGATACATATAATTACTACACGGTGAATATTATTTTGTGCGGTAATCGAGATGCGAAGGAAAACGCGGAAAGAAACGTGAAGCTCGAAAAACAACTTTTATTGTGTGTTTCAGCATTTAGATCTCTCTCCTTCCGAGAGAGATGCTCGTGCCCGAACGACGATATCCTCATCTCGCGATAATTTCGAGAGAGTCACTCTTTATGCATTTTACATTTCTCACAGATCGAAGATTACGACGAAGATTACGACGTACTCTACCGATAAGAGAATTCGCGTATGTCTCGCATAAGATATTCCTGTGCCACGATGTAATGCCCTTTAAATAATCAATATATTATAATATACATATATATATATTTTTTTTTTCTTTCTCTGTCTCCCTCTCTTTTGAAAGTTACGTATCATGCGTGAACGTTCCACCCGCGTACAGGGCGGGACGCTCGATTGATATTCCTTTAGCTTACGAAAAAAAAAAATATATATATATATACATATATATTAACGACACAACGAGCGATCACCGGGTTGACGCTTTCCGGAATCTTTATGGTCACAGGTCGCCGTGATATCTCCCGTCCAACCAATAATAATAATTCTAAACTGGACGAACTCGTCGATCTTGCCTTCCGTCTCCGGTAATAGTACAGCTGGCAGGGAACGTCTTCCTGTCGACGCTTCCGTCGCGGGACACCACCAGGAATTAGACACGACAGACGTAGGTCTGCTTACATCGAACATTGTTAGCAGTCGGGCTTGTCAAGTCTACCGCTGTCGTTGTCCTCCGTCGCGCGTTTCTCGACGCCGACATCCTGTTTCGGGGTCCTCCGGTTGACCGTGTAGAGCCGACGTCCGCGGTGCACCGTTGATTCCGAGTATGCCAGCCGTCGAATAATCGCGACAGAACGTCCTCCGTTCTCCGCTTCGTCGTCGTCGTCGTTCGGTTTCTGAGTGATTCTTAGGATATTTCTCTTGCCGCTTGCCAGGAATCTCAGTGTTTCGCTGAAGCAAGTTCGCCAGGTGCTCTCCGGATAATCACACAAAAAACGTCGCACACGGGCAACGTTGAGAATTCCGTCTTTCCTCATGACTGGAAATACTCGACCACGGTAAATATTCACTCCACGACTCGATGTCGAAGAACAAATCACGACGCTCTCCAGATAATTCCCTCGATAATTTTGTCGAAACAGTAAATAATAAAAAGGACGAGAGTGTCGGAGCCAAAGTTTAAGTACCTCGCATACCCCCGCTACCCCCGTCAAGAATTTATTCGATTCTGAAGAGCCGCGAAAGAGCCGAAAAAGGAAGAGAAACAAACGTAATATAAATCGAATATATATCGTAAAAAAGTTTGCATGCATATATATATATAAACTTTGTATTTCCAATAACATTCATATTTGTGTTATTAAGAAAGCAAATATATACGTGTATAACCGAGTAAATAATAGCGTACTAAAACCGTACTAAAATTCTCACAAGCGCCGTTAAATATACACAGCCAGAATAATCTTTTGTATATCAACGCAATTGTCAATTCACTAGAAAAAAACACATCCTCAATTCGATAAAAAAAAAAGAATTAAGAAAAAACCGCGCTAAAAACGACCGTTTGGAGGACCGGAAGATCTTATGCGATACAACGAGTGTACATGAGCACTCTTACCGGTGAACGCTCTCATAATCCCCTTCGACAAATTTCGTAGAACGACGTATATACATGTGTGTATACATACGTGTGTGGGTATGCGCGCGCGCGCGCGCGCGTGTGTGTGTGATATCTGCATATACACGCGGATATAGAATATTCAAGTGGGCACCACCACAGCAGGCTATTTTGAAGAGTGAGCATACATAATATATTATGTATTTAATGTATATTATCTCTTAAGGTCTCTGTGGTGTATACTGGTATACGACTGTAGTTGTGTGTCTGTCTTAATAAGCGGTAAAAATATGTAAAACTGTGAGCTCTCTCTCTCTCTCTCTCTTTCTCTCTCTTGCTCTCTCTCTCTCCCCCTCTCTCTCTCTGTTAGCGCGCGGTACATATATACATATATATATAAATATCACTTGCTCTCTTTCTTACGAATCGACTAAACTCGGATTAATCACCCTGGATATATCTTGTACGCCAATTGCGGTGTATACGCGCGATTGCAAGCCGCGTGGGTCCGCGTCTTTGCATCTCCCGATCTCATCGATATTCACGGTATAAGGACAGGCTTTCTCTGTATATGTATATTTACTATGATATTTACCGTCGCACGCGTGCGAGCGAGTCGTCGTTCCGATATTTCGCACTTCCCCTTTCCCATCCCGCATTCCACGTCCCCCGCGATCGCGGACCCTCCGGTTCGGTCGGGCACGCGACGTTCGAAATAGAAACCACTGCGCGACTTCGGCGCAGAGAACTCGGGCGTCGTTGAGCGTTTCCAATTTACCGGCCTCTGGCTTTCTCTCCCTCTTCCTCTCTCTCTTTCTTTCTCTCGATCAGGCCTCGAAGAGCGTGAGATCGTGTGTATCTTCTTGTACGCGTGCCACTTGTAGTTCGCTCGAGGAAATCTGATCAAGCTTTCACGTACCGTGACAAAGGGACGATCACCGATCGACGACGACGACGACGACGACGACGACAACAACGACGAGGACAGCGCACGAAGGGGTATTCTCACGTGTTCTCTCACAAACGGGTGGAGGATGACGCAAAGGCTTAGGACATCGAGGAACAGGGTAGGCGGGGCGAGCCCATCTGCGTGAGTACCCTGTCGAGCCACTGCAGCGGCCCGTTTAAATGCAGCTCGATCCAGCAAGGGGTCGAGGTGACGGTCTGCCGGCGGTATTCTGCGCCCCAGCCCTTCACGAAGCTCATGCGAATCGTGCACATACGCGTCAGCTGGTACACCGCCTCGAAGCCCTGCGACACCGACTGCGAGAGTAACGCCGCGAACTCCTGGTTGTTGAAGATCTTCAGATTGCATCCTGCGACGGACAGACATACGAACGGTATTATGACAAGAGCGAATGTTTCGCAGCGTTACCATCCAGTCACTTGAGTCACCATTTTTCTCACTTTTCCTTGACAAGTTGGTTGTAAAAGATTCAGTATCGTCCCAAGTAAGTCACCGTAGTCACTTTTTTTCCTGAGTTGCCGTTAAATTTGCAAAATATGGACGTCTACGTATATTTTTGTCGTCTCTCTTAATCAAATTCGCTCCGAAAGCGCACTTGTATCGTATCATCGTTCTTGGTCTTTCCTTGTTGTGAAACCTTTCAAACCGTATTATGAAGAGAACTCGCTCTGTATGTCCCAAGATAAATCTGGGAAGGTAAGAGTAATATTATAAAAGCAAGATTATTCTTCTAACAAACGACTGTAATTGGTCAATTTGCTTACTGCTTACATCTTAAAGATTGTAGACAAAGGTGTTATTTTTTTGCTTAAAAGGTCTCAGTTATTCTCAGAATGTGAAAAAAAAAAAACATTGTCATTTTGGTTACTATTTTGATGCCTGAGATGCTCTAAGATCACTTCTTGTCACCTTTTCTACCAAGAAGCTGGTCACTATACTATTTCGCTTGTTTTCGTTCCGGTGACCGGATGGCAGCGCTGGGTTTCGACGATGAGACGAAAGCGGGTAGAGCTCGTCGAGAAGCTGACGCTCGCTCCAGCTCTCTGAAGAGAGCCGGGACGAGAGAATGTAAAGGAGGAAAGCTTTCTTACCTGGCGGTATCTTACACACCGTGGCCGGATGCCAGCCGTAACGCTGATTGCAATTGGGACTCTGCACGAAGATGCTCGAGTCGGAGAGACACTCCGCGAACACCTCACCGCCGATGTAGTATAGTCTAACGCCTTTGCCGATGTGTCGCCTGGTCTGCTCGACCACCGTGTTGCGGTTCACGTTGGATAGCAAGCCGAGGCAGAAGCGCTCGGAGTTGCTGGGATCGGTGAAGCCGTCCACGGTAATGCTCGGCTGCGACGCGTGAAACGTCTCGCCCACCCTCGTATTTAGCTCGTAGTAACTAATTGAACACCTGCGCGAGGCGGAAGTGATACGGCGTTAGCGCGCGACTTGGTGGCCACGTGGACACGTAGTAATTCAAGGGGAGAACGTGCGGTTGCCGAGTTCCTTATGGAAGTTCATCCTCGAGAGATCTCTCATTTCCGGCCGATCCGATAACGCGACGTTAATTCGACGATTAATTCGAGATCGTCTCGCGCCAATGTTAACTCGCTTTACGACGAATAATTGTCCCGGCGAATCTCCACAGAATCGAAATTTTTGGCCCGATGTTGAACCTTTCGCTCTCGGCAACACAGCGAGAACAGAGAGACAGTACACAATTTTCTTTCCAATAATATCATTTACTCCTGCTTTAATCACGATGAGACGTCTTGAATTTCCGTTCTCGCTGTTCTTACCGTCAAAATTTCTATACGTCGTATTGCGATAATATTGAAACGAAATTTGTAGGATTAAAAGGTTTAAGAGAGAAGCTAACCGGTGTAGAATCGTCAAAAATAGGGAAAAAGATGAATTTCATCCTTGAAAATGTAAGAAAATATTGACTCAATTTTCTTAAAAGAAGCGAGTGAAAAATCCTTTTCAAATAATTTGTACGTTAAAAATTAAATTGTTTATCTATTGTGGCGGCTACACAGCGCCCCGACTAGCCGGGCCCCGCTCTTCGCGAAAATGCATTTCTCTCTTACACCCCATCAGCAAAAAACGGCCAATAAGAAACACGCCGACCGATGGTAGCGCGATTAATTAACCCCTGCTTGCCTGCCTGCGTGGTTCTTATTGACGATTTCGTACCGACCGAATATCTTGCGCTTCCCGATGCAAAATTCTCGTCTTATTTCTGCTCAACAACAACCGACACCCGACCGTTTGCGCTCGAGACAAACCCGTTATCTTTTTCGTGCATCGTCATTGCTTCTTCATTACGAAAACTGGAAATTCGCGCGCCGCGATCCAAGGCGATGGAAGGCGGGGAGCGTCTGGCGGATGAAATCAACGCAACAGCACGTTCCCTCCGTTTCCGCGAGCGCGCTCGTCGTCGGGGAGGTCCGATAGAGACACACGCGTGATCCGTGCAACGGATAGATGCGTCGCGCCCACTCACCAAAACGCGGGCTCGCAATACATAACGGGCTGCGCGTCGACGGGGCTGGGCGACAGGCGCGACAGAGACATGTTGTCGTTATGGTCCATGTTGTCGCCGTCCTCGCTGATGTAGCCCGGCGGCGGCGTATCCGCCGGAGGATCCATGGATCCCGGCGCGGGGTGAGGCGAGCCTTGCACGCTTCCCAGACTCCCGACGCTCGCCGGACTCGTCGCCTGCATGCTCTGGACACAAGTATAACCGCGCCTCGTCATTGTCTCACGAATCTAACGGCCACGTATCGTATCTAATGGCCATAAATCGCCCGCGATGCCCGCTGACGGGTCCTCTCTCTCTCTCTCTCTCTCTCTCTCTGTAATCGGCTTTAATTATTATCAATCATCCTTCACCCTGTGCGGACGACGCGCGGCTTTAACCGCGTTATCGAGTCGAGGTGGTCAAAAATCGAGTAGGCGTAACACACTGAGCTGTTGCGAGCGAATTCAGCGAATAATAGTGCCATCCGCAACGCGATCAGGATAACCGGTAACCAACGCAAAATCGATAAAGAACAAGCGTCTTCGAGGAAATAGGTCAACGATGAGAGAAGGCCGACGAGAGGTCGCGTTTCCGAACTACTCACCTGCATTCCTTGGTACGGATTATTTGGTTGCTGCTGTTGCTGCTGTTGCTGCTGCTGTTGCTGCTGCGGGGACTGCTGTATGCCCTGCTGATTGTGGTGCTGGTGATTGAGCGTCGCGTGGAAGCTCGTGTTCTCCGGCACGCTGACGCTGAGCTCCTCGAGAGAGGTGTTGTAGAGGACGGCCTCGTCCCCGGCTAGGTTGTGCCGCGGCACGAGAATGGCCGGCAAAACTGCAAAGTTTCGTGCGCCGATATAGTCACGCGATCTAGTCTAGGTGGCTGCTCTCGCCATGCTTACACAGTCGTAACGGCCGATTAACGGCCGTCCCGAGAAAGAATGAAAGAGAGAGAGAGAGAGAGAGAGAGAGAGAGAGACGCGGAGGAGGGATCCCCGTAATTCGAACAAACTGAATACAACCGGCCCGATATCGTCGGGGTAAAAGCGTTCGGTTTCGCGGCCGGCGATGCCGCGGCGCGAAGAGAGAGAGAAAGAGAGAAGGAGAGAGAAAGGGGAAGAGGGCGAGAGAGGTAGTATAATAGTCTCGCTGGGACTCCCGGTCGTTTCTTCGGCCGACCTAAGAGACCACTAAACATCGCCGTAAAGTTCGCATAAACGACACCGAGCGGCGGGACGAAATTTATCGTCGGATTTGCCCGGACTGAACACCGGGACGAACGGATAGATGGATGGATGGATGTGTGTGTCTGGGACGGGGATGAATTTATTTCGGACGAGAAGCGCGCGGGAACCGAGGGGAATGACGAGAGCCGCTGTGGTATATTATTGCACGGGTGTACACGGTTATACGGATTCGTTATCCTACGGTACTACATCTATCCGTCTGCGGCTTACCTGGCGGCTGTATTCGTTGATAGTGGTAAGGGTTCACGCAGACCTCGTCGCGTTTCTGAGTGAAAGCGTATTCGCAGTGCTCGATCGCCCTCAGCTCGTGATGCGACTGGAGATCCGGCCAGCGCCAAAGTCGGCAGTAAATCACGTGCGGCAGACCCTTGCCGCGAACACCCTGGACACCGTTGTCACCGACTCCGCCCGGGCTAGGCCTGCAAGTGGAAACGGAGGATCGCGATATAGCTCGAGAAAAGCTCCCTCGGGTACAAAACGGGGGCGAAAACAATTCCTGCAAGTGAACGGAAACCAGGCGAAAACTCGAAAACTTATATATATATATGTATATAAAACTAATATATTATATATATATAATATATAACGAACGTGATGACGAGTAAATATTATGATACAAACATTACAATCTGTTTTGACAATACATTCGCTTTTATATCGGCGTCAAACTCTTGCTTGCCTGTTTGTCGATACCTTTTGTTATTTATGAGAACATTAATGTGGACACTCAGCTGCATGAAAACTCGGTCGAGATAACTGAGAGAACGACTAATTAAGTAGACACCTCCTAGAGGACCTACAACCTCGCACTATCCTACGACCGAATTTTCGCCTGATCCTCGTTCAGCAAAAAATTCAGTTACACCGACGGAATGGTTTTTTCCGTTCAAGACTAGATTTACTTCGCTCAAGACAAGACCGCCGAGCTGTGTGACATGACGGCGCATGGTAATTCCGTCGTTCAATCGAGAATAAGTTCGGATGAAGAGATTTTTGAGATTTTATTCACACGGAAACGTATCGTCGATCTATTCGTCGCGCGCGCGCATCTAATGTTAAATCCGTACCATCTAATTCTGAATTTTGTACTCGTCTCGTGCGAGAGGATCGCGCGTGCTCTGTATCCATAAAGGATGAGACTAAAGCGGCTGCATGTTTAGCGCCAAATACGATGGAAATAGCGGAGACGTCGTCTGTCCTTTTCCAGCGTTTGCTGCTGTTACGCACATAATCGATTTTGAGGTTTTACTTTCTGTTTTGAATCTTATATCATTAACGCTCGCGTCCTTGTCCTTTCAAGAAATCGTATAAAGCAAGCTCTCTCTCTCTCTCTCTCTGTCTCTCCTCCTCTCCTCATCGATCCCAATTCGAGATCTCCGTGATCTTTCGCTTTCATCTCTTTTTCCGATAAGACGCACGAATTATAATAAACATAACGAATGTTGAGTAAAGGCAGAGCAAGAGAATAAAGGGTAAAAGCATCGTGCGTCCTTCAATGCACAACTCAAGCCATCAACAACTACTTGCCCGTGATTGACGACACCTGCCGACATTCGATCTCGAGCTAACGATCTCGGCGAGCAGCTTTATACCGCGAATCGAATTAACTGTCGGCGAGAACGTAACCGGTGCGTAACTCACGTGGCTGATGGTGTCGTGAGAAGACCGATTATATCTGTCCATCATGCCGTCTCTCCGATTGGAGAACCGGCACTCCGTTTCTCTCTTTCCCGTCCTCGTCAACTCTACCTCTTCGGTTCACACTTGAATTTTCTCTCTTTCTCTCTCTCTCTCTCTCTCTCTCCCTCCCTCGCCGTGTTTATTACAGATTTAACATCGATAATGAAAGAAGGCACCGCTGAAACATTAGGATCGCGTTATTACGAGGCCGTCCGTGTCCAACGCGATGCAATTCCGCGTCATCGTCGTCGTTCGTCTTTTGTACTGTACGAGCTCTTCCCGAGGAGAGAGCCTTCGCGAGCAGCGAGCTCTCCGTCTATTTAATCCCTGCGATTGTCCTCGTCTCGTACATCTCTCTTCTTCGTTCTCTCTATTCAGGGCTGGATTTACCGTTACGAGAACCACGGCGAATAATACGGTACGCGTCGCGTAATCCGTCGGCAAATCCGTCAGTATCGAGAGAGAGAGAGAGAGAGAGAGAGAGAGAGAGAGAGATACATGTGGAAATATTATTTCTATCACGAAGATGACATGTCATCTCTCCCTCCCTTCCTCCCCTGCATGATCTTCGCGGGTCGATCGATCGAGATCCTCAAGATCGCGCGACGAAGGTTAAATTTTACCGCTTAGCAGCTTGAGCGCCTCGACTATCCAGCTGACCTCCCCCCTGCCCTCCGTTGCATCCGTTGTCTGTCTACCGCACTTGCACCGGAAATGGCGGGTTGTTTACGAAGTAAGAGAATCCGCGCTGGAATTCACCGAGTAAGGGTCTTACCGAGCGACGGGCTCGCCGGGGAATTTCGCGAACGGCAAGCAAATCGCGCATCCCCCCCCCCCCCC